GGGGATGGGGAGCGGGGAGTGGATGCTGTTCAGTAGACTGGCCTGTTCCCAGAAAGCAGAAACGGAGGGTGAGGTGTTGCTTCATCAGGCTTGCGAGAGCCCAAGGGAGAAGCAGGAGGGAGGTTCTGGGGGAGCAGCCACCCGGGTGACACCTGTGCCCGTGCTGGAGTGCCCTCCTGTAGAGGGGAGCCCGGATTTTCGGTTGGTTCTTCAGTCTGCTCCGACTGCCAGCGCTTGCATGTTCCTGGGGGGTGGATTGTTGCGATGCTGCTGGAGATTTGTGTTTGCCAGTTTGGCAAGGGCCAGATCGGGGAAGGAAGATTTACATGGGCAAACATTGACAGGCCGTTTTCTGCAGAAATGGTTCTGTTGGGAGGGCTCTTGTGAACTCGCAGACTTTGGATACCTGCAGCAGCTCATGTGGGGGATGATTGTCAGGGAAGCAGTTGATTTTTTACTACTCCTGCACAGCTGAAGTGACACATGCTAAAGGCTAAGCAGTGCTCACTTGTGTAATTCCCTGTGGCTCCTAGCCACGTTTGATATAACTGCAGTTTCACTAGAAGCACATGCAGCCTGACTTTTACTAGAAATGAAACATATCGTGACAGTGAGAGAGAATTGAGATGGTTCCTCTAGTTCAAGAAGGTGTTTCCAAAGCCCCGTGATACAGAAAAGTGTGTGAGACTTGTGAGGGTGGATACTGTCTCCGTCCTGTCTATGTTACTGGTCTCTAAACTGGCTTACACCCAGATGCGTGAGTTTTCCTTGGGGTGTTTGTACTGCTGGAGACATCGGAGGTGGTTGTCAATGCTCCCCTGGCCTTACTGGCAGCCCCTCGGAGAGTGATCCTTCTGGGCTTCTCCAAAGTTGCTTTGCCGTGACGTAAATGGCACTCATTGTATTGCCCCACTGGTCATGTAAGGAGTCTAGGCAGTGAACACCAATGTTGTTAAATGCCTTATTGATACCTAAAGTTAGGTGAGATCGTTTTCGCTGTGATTCCCACACACTTCTTGATTCTTAGGGATGTGTTTCCCATGTGGAGAGTCACCATGACTTCAGTAGCTGGCCTGCATTGTGCGAGAATGTGTTGGCTTCATTTTTGTTGACTCTTCGCTTGGTCTTAAGTGATTGCCATAGGCTCCCATTTGCTGCCTGTTGAGGATTTACTGGTTTTTGTGCATGTACCATATCCTCTCTTTACATGTCTCCTTTCACAGAAAAACTTTGCTGCATTTCCTTCACATCCTCAGTTACACCAGTTGCTGTGTCTAAACTTCTCAACGGACAACGGACAGTGAGCAGAACACGCGTCCTGAAATACTTTGCGGTCTTCCAGTTTGGTCACTCCCAGTTTTCTACAAATCAGGCTGGAGGATTCGCTTTCCACCAAGATGTCTGTTTTTCGGCACAGCTGTTATCGAAAAAAAAGTGGTTTTTTCTGGGCTGAGGAATGCCACATACACATTTTCAGCTAGGAGTTGGCTTGCATTATCACTCACCATGGGCTGTTCTTTTCAGTCCCTGTGAGGTAGCTGAGGTGGTCTGTACCTCTGAGGTATTACCAGATTGCACGCTTATTGGACATTTTCTATATAAGAGGTTACATCTAAATCAGCTTCTTTTAAAAATGATGCTCTGGGCTATGTCCTTAGTGGGACAAAGCGAACACCTTGCATAGAAAAAATGTGGATACAGTTGTGAACCTAGAAGATTTCAGTAGGTTGAGTTGTACTTAGATTTGCACTCCAGTCAGCAGAATTTGGGCCATCCTGCCCACTTACAGCACTGATTATTCCGTAGGTATTTTAGCAGAGCAGCACTTTGAGAACGTGTTTCCAGAATTTCTCTTTTAGTGATGTTTAAATTGCTGAAGTACAAAGTGCAAGCTGAGGAATATGCTGGGATTGAGAATGTATTTGATTAGCTAAAATGCAAAACAGCGCTCCCCAAAAGCAGGAAGGGATACCCCGCTTGCTCTGCAGTAGGGCAGCAGAAAATCTCGTGTTCGTTGTTATGTAGCAGCTTCTAACTGGTGAGGCTAGTACATGGAGGACTGCTATAAAGTGATTGCTCATCTCTTAAATCCAGAGATCAATTTTCTTACAAACTGAAGATGCTCTTGCCAGGAGAGGTAACTGACCGTGGGCTCATTCATATATATACACCAAATTTTTGACGAGAAACTGTGAATAGGAGGTCTGCTCAAAGGTCTTGTGCCCAATTTTGAACTGTGGGTACAGGGGTCTAAGATGCCTGAAAATTTGAGCAGCACATGGATTATGAAGAGTCCATTGTCAGCACAAACTACTCTGGTGGGGCTTTTCTTAGAGACATGATCCTAGGGTGGGTGCTAGGTGGGTATTGTACTGTCTTGGTGCTGTAAAACCCAGCAAAGTTCTTCCTTTGTCTTTTGAGGCAGCTGAGGGAGTTCAGTGAAGGCAAAAGACCTGCAGACCTTTTGGGTGGGAGGGTGACTGGGGGCCAAGTGACTACTTCTGTGATTCTGGGTTTATCATTCATCCCATAAAGAGGTGCCGTGCCAGTTACAAGAGGCTGTGGCTTTTAATGTGATTTACAGTAATGTTTACAATTGATTTATACATTAGGTTATTATTATGTAGTAAAAATATTTCCTATTTTTTATAATAATAATATAAACACTGCAGTATTAACCCTTTATAGAAACAGGTGGTTCAGAATCTTCCTGGTTACAGAAGGTGAATTTTTTTGTCAGTCAGTGGGATGAAGGATTCAGCCAAAACTTGAGACTGTTCCAGGGCAGGAAAGTTTAGTGTGTGGCTCTTATCTGGGCAGGAAAGGGGAAATTACTGCAAAATAATTTGGAGAGTGGTTTTACAAGCTGGCTGTGTGCTCACTCATAACGGGTGCCCATGTTACTCCACTGTGCAAGCAGAGCGAGATGAGCTTAGGGAGGAAGTGTGGACTGCACGTTTATATCCCTCCTTGTTGCACAGCAATGTCTTATTGAGTAGACAGAACCAAAAACCCAATCTGCTTGCGGATTTACTTGAGCTAACCTGGGCTGACTTCCCACGAGGTATTCCCATGGCTATGCACAAGCAGCTGAATGCTTTTTTTTTTTTTTTTTTTTGTCCATAGGAAAACCGTCCAATCCCGGAACCAGGTCCCAATGGTAGGTCTAGAGATGACTGCTTCTGTCTGTTTTCTTTGCTCATCTATTTCTTTTCTCGTTCTCTTTTGTCACTCCTTGATATTATAAAGAGATAAAATATTTCTGAGAAAGTTTAGAAGAATCCAAAAAAAGAATGTGTGGGTGAAACAGATAATGCTACATTTCCACGTAAAAGGAAGAGCTGGAGCAGTGACAGATACGCCCCTTTATCTGGCTTTTTTTCCTTCCTGTTTCATCACTTCATGTATTTCACATTAAACAGCTCTTGGGACATGTCAGATGATCCTATTGCGGGACTAAATAGGCTAGGCATATGGGCTGATAGAAATTTGATTCACTAACTCTCCAGGGCTGAAATCATAGCTTAGGGAGAAAGAAAAATTAAATGGACTTGCTCTTTTATTCTTGCTCCAGGAATAGTCAAGCCCCTCTTGGGTTGCATTAGCTTTCGTTGATAGGGGTCTTACCATATTTTAAGCTCTCCTGATTTGTAAATCCTTGTGTAGGTTTGTATTTCAGCAGGTGTCTCATGAACATGGCATCCATCCTAACGAGTGCACATGCTGTTCCAGTACATTTATTTAATGCTAGTGAATTCAGATGTTTTGATGCTGGCTTGGCCTTTGTTGTGGGGCACAGGGACATCACATGTGTCACTCTCCCAGTGCCTGAGAAGGTAAGTTTTTCTACAAGGAGCTTTTCTTTGTTTTCTGTCAGAGGTCCTCCTGCGAATGCATTCTGTTGGGATCTGTGGGTCCGACGTTCACTACTGGCAGCATGGTCGAATTGGGGATTTTGTCGTGAAGGACCCTATGGTGTTGGGGCATGAAGCTTCCGGGACTGTTGTCAAAGTGGGATCAGGAGTGACTCATCTGAAACCAGGTAATTGGAACCAAAACTGTCTTTTTATTTGTTTTCCTGCTAATCAGTTCCTGAGAATGTGCTGGTAACAGGTTGTGCTTTTCTGTTAGGTAAATTTATCTGATGTTCTGAGCTGTGAATTTCACAGTGTGACCTTCTCCTTCAGTGTCACTGTGATGCTATTAATCGCACACCTTGGCTGCTGTAGTTCATGGTATTTCTTAGGTATGCTCTATGCTGGGTATCTTGAGCTGGTCTGACTATTATCATGCAGATGCTGGTACAAGATGCCTTTTGAAGAAGCTAGGTAAAGCTTCAGAAACCACGTACGTTGCTCTTGCCAACAGCCTGCTGTTAATAATACTTTGCTCTATGTGTTCTTGAAGGAGCAAATGGCCTCCTGCATTGGAGAGAGATCACTGGAGCAACTGTATCAGGCCCTTGGTGTGACCTCTACAGTTTGCTGTGCTCATGAATGCCCTAGCAAATGGGCTGAGCAGTGAGTTTTGCAAAGTTTGCAGATGATAGCAACTTAGGCAGGATGGAGAGGACACAGGATAGCTGGCAAGAGAGACCTTAGAAGGTGCCTGGGCAATAAGATGCAGATGAAATTCAATGCAGATAAACATAAAGTATTGTCCACAGCAGAAGAAACAAAACCAGCTGTATATCTAAAATGATGGGCTGGCCATCACTGCTGAAGAGTGAGACCTTTGGCTCTGACACAAGTGCATGGGAACGTTGGCTCAGTAATGGTGAAAAATGCAAATTTGTGTTAGGAAAGGGACAGAGGCTCAATCAGAGAACATCACTGCGCATCTGGAGTTCTGCATGCAGTTCTGATCTCCTTTCCAAAGGGTTAGAAAAGAAGTGAGAGAGTTTCAGAGGAGGACGAGGAGATGACGAGATGTGGAGCAGCATCTCTCTGATGAATGACTAAGCTAGGAACTCGAGCTAGGAGTTGGAGAGACAACTCAAGGATGTGTAACACAGGTCTGAAGACTCCTGGAGGGCAGGGAGAGGGCACATAAAGATTGCATGTTCTCTGGTTCCTCCAATACAAGAGCGAGGGACAGTGGGAGCCAGGTGCAGCATTCACCTAAGATGTAGTAGACATGCAGGTCTCTTTGGCAAAGGATGCCGTGGATGCTAAAAGTTTACGTGGTGGAAGGTGGAGGAGAAATTGTCGAGGGTTACTAAATACAAAGAAACCACATGCAGCTTGGGAGGCCCCACAGCTGAATATAATGGGAGGCTGGGAGGACATTCAGGATGTGCTTGTCCTGCTCCTCTCACCTCCAGACATCCCCCGTTGGCCATATCACAGGTGGTGTAGTGGACTAGATGGGTCTTTACTTCCTGCTTGTCACTGTGTCTGAAAGCCTGTTGGTGGAGAGCTTCGCTGGGAGATATGGCATCGATTGGCTTCCTCTGCTGAATAATAAGGGCCTGTCTTGTGTCCCTTGTGTACTTGCAAGTTGTATTGTGGTCACACAGTTGTTGTCTTTAGTCCATCCTGCCTTGTGATTGCCATTAAATAATTACTCTTTGTCCTGCAGCAAGTGTCCTTCCAGCAGCCTGGGCTACACCATTGCAGCATCAAGATGTCTCTGTTCCCCGATAAGTCCTGCCTGACTCCTGGGTGCACTTTTGCACCATGAGCTCCCCAGCTGGCAGCATGGTGGCCAGAAGAGCTCACCTGCTTTGTCCTAATTATTTCCTCTTCCAGTTGCTACAGATTGTGAAAAAAATCTTAGCACCATGCGATTTCCTGGGGTGAGGGCTGCCTTTTCATCTGCTAAGGTTTAGTGCAGGGCAGCTGGAGAGAGGTTTGTGTGTGACTGAGCTTCCGTCTGCTCTGTGTCTGTGCCTCGGAAACACCGGCTCTTTTTGAGTAACTGTGAAGATCTTGATGAAGGAACTGTTAGGAACTTGCTTGGTGCATGCAGCATGATTGTTCTCAGTTAGCATATGTCCCTCAGGCTTATCTGGTGCCAGGGTTTCATGCTGTCTTCTGTGGTTGTCCAGTGCTGCTCATACCTGTGTGCTTACCTTCTTCCCAGGTAACACAGTCTGCTTTCACCCTGGCAGGTGATCGAGTGGCCATTGAGCCTGGAGTCCCAAGAGAAATGGATGAGTTCTGCAAAACTGGACGCTATAACCTGTCTCCAACCATCTTCTTCTGTGCAACGCCTCCCGATGATGGGAACTTGTGCCGCTACTACAAGCACAGTGCCAGCTACTGCTACAAGTTAGTCTGGGCTCCCTCTGCAGAGAAGTATCTACTCACTGGGGGATTAGCTGAAGCAATCTCCTCTTGACCCTTTTGAGTATCACAGTGAGCATTCTCTGCTTGAACACAACAGGTTTTATTGCTTTCTGATCCATAAAAAACATGTACAAGGCTTGGATGGCAGTCACTTTGCAAAGGCTTTGTCAGGCAGCTGTAGTTTATCCCCTCTGGCGCTAGACAGAAACAAACATTTCTTGCATGTTTCCTGGGATGTCACTACTGGTTTACCCTTCATCTTACAGCTGCCTTCCCACAACTGTCGTTTCCGTTACTTTGGCTTGGTGTTGGCTTGGCTAAGATCTGACCTCCAGCTTCCCAGGCCTGTCCTCGCAGTCACAGCTCCCGGCACTTGCTGTGTGAGAGCCCATGCTGGCGGCTTTCCGGAGGGCTGCATTGCGGGACTGGGGGTTATTTCTGTCAGCAGTTCAGAAGGGTTTCAGCCCCCTCTGCTTTTTTCCATCACTTACACGAGCTGCATTATGGTGCTGTTTCTGTCTAAAAGGTGTTTCATACCCACTGTACACATTTGACCTGACTGCTGGGAGGGTGCATGCTGGCACCAGTCCACTGGTTGAAACACTTGGTACATCACAGGAGGACGTACAGGGCGTGATGGCGAGACCTGGGTCTGGCTGCCTGTGCTCTATGTGGCATCACCACTGGCAGCAAGATGTTTTCTGAAAGTCTGGAGCTGAATGATTCATCACAGATGAGGGATCTGGGAGCTCAGTGATGGGGCTCAGCCATAGGACAGCTGTCGAAGTGGTGTATACGCAGCTGTGGGGTTTATTCCAAAGGGGATGAGCAGCAAAAGAGATTTAGGGTTGACTTGCCAAGTACTGGAGAGATGATGTGGGGGAGTTTGTGGATCCCTGTGTTCGGTGCTTAGGCAAATGTCACTAATACATGGTTTAGGTGTACTTGATGCTGCTTCAAAGGAGGGAAGGAGACGATATAACCTCTGCAAACGCCTTCCAGCCACGAATTTCTCAGACCAAGGGTGAGAGTGTATTTTGCCACTGATTTAGACCGATGTTTGGTCTTCGAGTGTCATGGCTTTCCTCATCACCCTCATAAACCTTATTGGTGACTGCTCCTTGTGTCTGGTTCTTGCAGGCTTCCAGATAATGTCACCTTTGAAGAAGGAGCCCTTATTGAGCCCCTTTCCGTGGGAATCCACGCCTGCAGAAGGGCAGGAGTCACTCTGGGAAGCAAAGTCTTTGTTTCTGGCTCTGGTAGGGTGAACATACGCGGTCCTTGGGTTCTCTGCGTGCCTCGGCATGGAGGGAGGTGGACAGGGTGCATGCTGTGCTTCGAGGCTCTGCTGTCAGCGTGCATCCTGGCAGAGTTACAGGGATGCCAAGGGGGACCGTGAGGCTGTCCTTGGCCATGCTGCACCACGCTGCTGCATTTTGAGCATCCTAAATGCAAAGTGTAGTGTCTGGGCGTTCTGAGCCTACCAGCTCGAGGGAGCAGAGGAACGGGTGGTGTTTTCCTTGCTGAGACCCTCATGTAGCAATAGCTGCTCTCTCAGCAGCTGGTCTCTCTGCCCTGGGATTGTGGTGATGCTGTGATCCCAGAGCTGCCCATCTGTAAACACAGTCGGAGCCTTCATTAGCCTAGGAACATGCTGAGCTCTGGGCATATTCAGACCCTGTGCTGGTGCTGTCTGTCAGTTGTATATGTTCTCTTTCTCCACTTCGTACCCAGGACCAATTGGCCTTGTTAACGTGCTTGTTGCTAAGATGATGGGCGCAGCGGCTGTGGTAATTACGGGTAAGTCCTTGTAACCCTTAAGAGTGTGCTTGTTTCCCACAAAACAACACTTTGACTAGTTCCGCGTATTCTTTCAAGGTAACTGCTGAGGAAGGCAGCCCAAGCACAATGGGGCTGTTCGTGAATGGAGTAGCAGCGTGCCTGTCTGGAGGGAATCCTAATGAACACCTCATTCCTGAGGACAAGGCTTTGATTTTTGCACTCTGCTAGGTTAGCAGACCAGGGTAATAGCTTCTGCTTCCTAGCACAGACAAGCTGTGTGGGTGGAGTAGCTACAGTGCTTGAAGGAGAATAAACCAAAGGCTAAGGAGTGGTCCTTGGATCAAGCCTAGAGACCTTTTTCAGACTTTGAACAGGTCTTTTGGGATGAGGCAATGTGTCTGTATGACAAAGCTCTGAGTTACAGAAACTTCACTTGCTCTTAGTGCCTGTGATCACTGACTTCTTTTTTTTAATTCTGTTTTGAGCTCTTCTGACCTCAACTTTGTTTTTTGCCTTTGGCTCATAGATCAAACCCTGAGGATCAGGTTTTGTCTTCCCCGTATTTCTTATAGACCTTGATTATATCTGCTTCTACTCTTCACCTAGGCATGCAGATCAGGCAACACAGCATACTTTATACCCTGTTGGGAGCTGTTCTTGGAGGTTGTCTCTGAGCAGGTTTTTTTCCTTTCTTTTGTAGTGCTAGGTGAGGACCTGGACACATGTTTTCACAGTCCCTTCTGTGGGCAGCCACATTGTCCCTCTCTAGTTCTCTTTTGCTGCCCTTCCTTCTGCTGTCCTGCTGTGGGGTTCATTTTCTACTGATTATCTGCAATGACTGAAGTGGCCTTTTCAGGGTCCCTGTGTTTCAGAAATGGGCCTTCCTTGCGTAACTGTGTGCTGGAGGTTTCTGGCCCCCTGCCGCTTGCAGCCGTGGTTTTGTCTGGCTGCCCCTGGAAAACCACTGAGGATGGAGATCACCTCTTCCTGAGTACCTACTGCAGAATTGCACTGCCTCCTAATGAAGAAGCTGAAAGAAGTCTCCATTGTCTTTGCAGCTGCCCTTCTGGTTGTTGCAGAAAGCTGTTCAGTCCCCCCTTCTCTTTGCCGTGCTAACCCAGCCCAGCTCCCTCCACCTCTCCTGAAAGGTCAGGCTCTTCTCTGTGTAGCTTGCCCAGAAGAAGTGAGAGCTGGAGTAGCCTCAGGAGGTTCCCTGGTTGAAGTTTCCACCTGGGGTTTGGACAGGGCCTGGAAGTGGTGTTTCCACTACTCTTTGAGCGGTTGCAGGTACAACTAGACAACAAGCACAGGTTGCAGCAGTGGTTTTGGGCCAAAGCCCAGCAGACCTTTCAGAAGGCTGTTACTCCACCCCCCACACTTCAGGCCAGGTGTATTTTTGACCTCTCTGTTACTGTGTTTCCGTCCTCGGGTGGAGAGATAGAATTCAGGTCCCACCCCCTTGTCTTTGCGGAAGCATCCTTCAGTAGTGGCTTGTGTCAAAACCTAAGGCAGATTATTGCCTTTTCCTCTCTAAATCCTTATCCTCTCTAAATGCTGAATCCAGGGCATTTTTTTCTCTGCTGGCCCCACCCTGCAGGTGTGTGTCCTTGGTGGGCGTGATCAGTCCAGGTCTCAGATTTTGCAAAGTGTTGTCATCTGAGGAGGATGATTGCTATAGCAGGAAAAGCAGCTCTGCCTCTTGAATCATGCATGAGGAACCTTGCTGCTGAGCTGAGCTGGTGCAGGGGCTGGTGGGTGACCCAGTCCTTGGGTGGGGAAGGGTTTGGGTGAGCTGGCAGGGGTTGGTGGGGCTGAGGCAGCTGATTCAGCCTGCTGCCCCATCCCCGCTCCTGCCTGGGTGTATTCTTCCCTGTATCGCTGGGAGCTGCTGTTGCTTTTGCCTGTAGACTGCTCCTGGGGACCTTTGGCAAGCAGGTCTGAATAACATGTGCCATAGGGCTCCAGGTGGCCATAGGAAGTTCTTGGTGCCTGGTTTGTAGGGTCAGCAAGCTCGGCTACATGGAATTAACCCCTGCTTGTCTTTATGCCTTGGCCTAGGTAGTGATTCTGACTTGTAGACATCTCCCACCCGAGAGGTGCTTGGCTCAGATGCTCAGAGACACCCATGGAGATGCTGTCCTTAGTCAAATATTTGTATGTGACATGAGCTGAGGAATGGGTTTAGTTTGGCTCGTTGCTGCTGCAGACTTTGCTGCCCTTCTCAAGGAACTGCTCTTTGCATCAGCTTTGGGAGCCAACACCTGTGAGGTGACTGTTTGTCCCAAAGGCCCTCTTGTGCTTTGCTGCCAGATTCTTTGAATTCATTGCCTGGAGTTTTTATGATGTGTTTGTCCGAGAAGAGCTTTGTCTGCACAGCACTTAAGGCTTTAAATGTTTGTGTTTGTTTTGACAAGCCTCACACAAATATAGAAATATTTGGAAGAGCTTTTTCATGACCTGGGGAGAGCTCAGCTCCTGCAGCTTCTGCAGTGAGTGTCTTTGGCACATCTGGAGGCAACGGATTTGGAAGGTTATGTCTCTGCCGATTGGTCGGGTCCCTGCTCTGGGACTCCTGGAGAGCGGCTGGCACTGTAGTTAGAGACCGGTGCTCAGCCCTACCCTTCTGAAGGCTTGTGTGTGCTAAAGCTTGCCTTTCCTCCCAGATACGGCAGCTTGCCTGATAAAAGGTATTGGTGCTTCTGATAACCTTTGCTTTTCTCCCTGAAGTGCTTTATTCCCAGCAGACTAGTGTTATCCCTTTTGGAGGCGGGCTTGATGGGTTTGGTGGACTGCAGTTGGGTGCAGAAGGTTTGTTTCATGAGTCCTCATCTACTCTTCCCTAAGGTCTACGGCTTTCTCCACTCTGCTCCTGAATGGGTGTGATTGATATTTGTGGGCAGCCTTCTCCTGTCCTTCTGCCTTTCTGTGGACATTGCTGTTGCTCTGAAAAACTGTTTTTCTCTTCAGATGCATGTAAAAGCAGCCTTATTCCCCTGCAAATGAAGTGACAGTTTGAGTATTTGTATGGCAGTGTTGGGCTGGCTTGCCTTACTCTGTCACTAAAGGTACACTTAGTAATTCCTACTTATGGGAAACTATCTAAATCTGATGTCTAAAGCTGAAGTCCTGGGTGCCGGTGCCTTCAGAAACCCTGGAAGTCAAAGTCAGGGAAGATGAGTAACTGGACAGAGTTCACTGCTTTGTGAAAGACCAGTGTAGAAAGTGTGAGAGCTTCAGGAGTGTTTGTCTGTTAAGCTGGCTCATAAACCGTCATGAGAAGCTTAAGTGTAATTTGATAACTTCTGTGGAAGCAGAGGTACAAGAATGGGCTATTCTTAGTCTAGTAGTCAAAACTTTAATTAGCTCCAGTGGCCAGGAAGTGAAAACAAAGTTCTGACTAGAGGCAAGGTGCAATCATTTAATTGTATAATTGACCGGTTTCCCGGGACTTGTGTGGTCCTCAGCCACAGTAAAAGTTTAAAATCTGAACGACTTGGTCCTTCTCAAAGTTTGCAAGTGTCTGGAGCAATAAACAATACGGTAACCTTCTCGTTCAATAACCTGTAGATCTGTCAGCTTCGGTAGGTGCTTAGCAGTAATTCACTGAGGCCAGGGGTATCAAGATGTTATCACACGTGGGTCTGATGGTATTACTGCTGCATCCAGTGTGCCTCTCCGCCCCAAGGGCTTCCTCCCCGAGCAGGTCAGCAGACCGGAGGCTGACTATAGCAAAGGTGTGGGGGTTTTTTTGCTTCACGGGGAGCGTGGTTGAGCCCCACTCATCCATACACTGAGACACCAGCCATGCCAGGCAGAAGTGTTTCTTGGCACTTCAGGTGCCTCAGAAATGCCCGTGCCCTTGCTCGTGCTGCGTGGGAGGTCTCCGAGTGCAGCTCAGCTAGCAGAGGGTCAAGCATGACCATACATGCAGCCCGAGGCCCAGCGCTCAGAGCTTGGGAGGGGCAGACATGACTAATGCCTGCTGCAGGCACAGGGACGAGAGCCCACGTCAGGGCTTCTAGGGTGATGCTGCCCTTACCTTTCAGCCTTGGTTTTTCCTCCTTCGTCTGCACTTTGTTACCCTTTGTTATCCCTTCTTGAAACTCCCTCCACAGATCTCGTGGGTGCTCATCTCAGTGGGTGTGCCTGCACCCAGCACTCCAAGCCCTGCTGCTGCCGGTGTGGGCATGTTGATTGCCTCCCCTCCTGGTAAGCAACGTCACATTTGCTGTGTAATGGGCAGGGCAGGTCCTCTGCCCTGGCTTCCTCCCAGCGCTGGGGCTCGGTCAGAGCAGCTTGTGTCAGAGCAGCGGCCTTCTCCTCCTTCTCTTTTCCCTTGATATTTCCCCCCCCCCTATCTCTGACTTCACTGAAGACTGTGCCCTGGTGAAAGGTGTATTTTCCTCTTTGTGGTGGATGAGTGTGCTGTATGTCCTGGAGAGGAGCGTGTCCCTGGAAAAGGCATCATTTTCCAAATCTTCAGGCCTAGGACCTCTGGCAGGAGACATTGCTCACCCTGCAGTTTTGGGTCTAGGAAATCTTGGCTGTTACAGCTCAGTTTCCGCCTTTGATCCAGACGTATTTTCCGGTGCCAGCACACAGGCCCCTGTGGAGCACTGCTTCAGTGCAAGGCAAAGAAGTTGTTTCTGCCTGGGAAATGCCATTCTTCTCTGCTGTCCACCTCCTTATCTCCAGAGATGTCCTGGTCACCAGTGGTGCCTGGGGAGGGCTGGGTGGCTTACTTCCAAGCGATGTCGAATATAAGAGACAAACTGTGGCTACCTGCCAGGGCAGCTCGCTCCATGGTACAAACCATTTTGTGGATCTGCAAAAGATACTTATAGTGCTGTGGAGATCACTCTGGACAGAGAACCAGAGTACAGCCATGCCCTCACAGGCATTTATCATCACCAGATTTGTTGCTCTGTGTTAGTGGGGTACCTGAGGTCCACCATGTTACCAGATCTACTCTCTTTTTTTTTTTACGGGCTTTGCCTGCACATTCATCTGTGACAGAAACTGTCTGAGATGCTCAGCAACCTCCAGTGCTGTTACAAGGAGGGCAGAAGGACGGGAGAGGTCTGTAGCAGCAGGGATGCACTTTGTATTGACAACTAATGCATTCTGCAGTTTGCTCAGCTGAAAGCATCTGCTGATGGTTCATCGAGGAAGCCCTCAGAAAGCTCGTGATCTGCTCTCATCTGGTGTTTGTTCATAGCCAGGTGATTTCTGGGCCATCAGGGAGTAAGGTCAGAGCAACCTTGCATCTTGCCTAGTGCCCTTTGAGAGGTATCCTTGAGGCTGTGAGCAATAGCAAATAATCTGGAGAGCCAGGGAAGGAAAATGCAAAAGGAAGTGGGGTTTTTTTTTGCCTCAGTGTAGGCTTCTACCTGGGTTACCTTGCTGAGTATGTGTATAACTTGGTTTTTTACAGTTCTTTTTCACTAATAGCTTAAGGTCCTGTGTGAATTAGTGAAGCTGCTTCATGAAAAGACACCTCTCTGTTAGAGAGACACTGGCAGTGGACAGTCTTAGAGAGTGGCAGCTTTGGCAGGACACAGCCGCGCTGTTCGAACAGCTCAATGCTGCCCTGTCTGTCCTGCCCTCCTGCTGCCCTTTGCCTTTGCACTGCGGTTCCTCCGCTCTGCAGTCTCGGGACAGCCACACACCAGTGCTTGCCTATGGCTGTTCCTGCGGTGGTTCCTGCTTGCAGCATCGATGTGCATGCCTTTTGGAGTTAAGCCTGGCCTTCTGGTTTGTCTTGGCACACTCTCAGTGTTCCTGTGGTACCAAAGAGAAACTGGGAGGTCTACGAACTGATTGTCTTAGAAGACACTCCTTGAGTCTAGGGGTGGCAGCTGTTCCTTCACTCGGACATTGCTTTGCATGATGCGTATTTCATCTGTGCGTTTATGGTTTAGTCTCTGTGAAGCACACTCCCGTCTGCAGCTGGAAAGCCATCTCCTGTGTCTTTAAATTGTCCTCATCGCTCATCTTTCTCTGCCTGCCCAGAAAAGTGAGCAGGTCTCCTCTATTCCTCCTGATTGAAGGCTGTGTGAATTTGAGGGAGGGAATGTAGACCCTTTCCTCTCCTGGTTTGTGTGCTGCCCTGTGCACACATGTTCAGCGCCCAGACGAGTGTGCTTGCATCAGGGCTCCTTGGTGGTGGCCTGCTTGCATCAAGGGTGGGAAGCCCTTTGGTCTGGGTGGTCTACATAAATTCTTGAGAGGTTCTAGCAGGCTGCAGTTTCCCATCTTGTCCTGCCACATAACAAATGCTGTCTTCTCTTCTGAGAGAGAAAACAAACAAGGTGGCTCTGCCGAGATGTCAGATGGGGGTAGGAAGCAGATTGCAGGCTCACGTTCTTTCTCGCTTTCTGCTTCACATAATGCTCCAGTTCTTGACTTGTTTTGTCTTTGCCCAGATTTATCTGCCTCTCGCCTGCAAAAAGCCCAGGAGGTGGGGGCAGATTTCACCATTCAGGTGACGAATGAGACCCCGCAGGAGGTGGCCTCCAAGGTGGAAAGTCTGCTTGGCTGCATGCCTGAGATAACTGTGGAGTGTACGGGAGTGCAAGCCTGCATCCAGGCTGGCATTTACGTGAGTACCACTTGTCCCCGGCTAGAGCAGTGCTGCCATTTGTTTTCCTCTTTCTGGGACGCTGTAGTGAATGACCGTTATTTCACTCCCATAGCGCTTAGTTTCAGCACACTTGGTATGGGGGAGACAAGGTGCTCATTAGACAGCTAAGAGAGACGATTAAAGATGTCTTTGCAGGCAGCGTGGAGAGAACTGTCTGCTTTGATGCTCAGCTGCTGTACCACTTATCAAAGAGGCTACAGTAAGACCCCAAAACCCAGGCATGGCTACGCAGCCGTGTCAGGCAGCTGGTGCAAGTAGGGCAGCAGCTTCCATTAAATTGAAGTTATGTCCAAATAAGGAGAATACTTAAGAAAATTGATTCCAGCAGGTGAAGAAAGCAGTTAAAGAGGGGATGTTTTGCTGTCAGGAACTGCCTAATGGGAGGACGTGGAGAAGGTAGTGCAGAGTTTCACAATGAAAGGACAGGAGACAAATGGGACAAGCTGCAGAAAGAGAAATTCCAGTGGAGCATCAGGCTCTTAGTTTTAAATATCTCCCGCTGAAATCTGAAAGTCCATTTCGTACTCCTAAGTGCCGGTCATTTTTCAGAATAAGATTTAGATCCCCAAATCCTTCAGGGATTTTTGAAAGATTGCTTTTTAAGCCTTGTTTATTGCGTGTTTCATGCTTATGGGCTCCTGACAGCATCCTGCCTCTCCCCTGGTTTCTCTGCTGTGCCCTGGACACTCCATTACAGCCACAAAGCGTGGCTTTAATTTTTCACAGACTTCTCGTAGACCTTGGTGACTGGTTTTTGCAAAATACAACATATTTATGTGTTTGTTCTCCAGGCCACTTGTTCTGGTGGGACCTTGGTGCTGGTGGGGCTGGGGCCTGAGATGGTCACTGTGCCCATTGTGAATGCCGCTGTGCGGGAGGTGGACATCCGGGGGATATTCCGCTACTGCAACACGTGAGTCTTGTGCAGGGTGGGCTGATGTGACTCCATGTCTGTCCCTAAGAAATTCTTGCTTTCCACAGGGAGAGAAGACTTGGAAAAGGCTGGTTTTCCTTACAGTTGGTTAAACCTCATGTCACTCTGAAATACGGGCGCTGCAGTGCAGACAGTGTGGCTGATGTCTGGCATTTTTTGCCTTGGTTCCTGGAAGAGCCCTGCACTGCAAACTTGACCACAACAAAGCAGCCCAGTTGGGCTGTCCTCCTGTCCTATCTCATGCAGCATTTGGTGCAAAAAAAGGAAGAGACCCAACAAACCCTTACTCTGCTGTAAGCAAGCAGGCCAAAATGAAAAAAAAAATCAAAATTAACATTTGTACCTTCAACTCGTGCCCTGTAGAAAGGGAAGGCCAAGTGCTAGGGGTGGTTTGGCAGAGACTGGCTTGTCCACCGGTGTGCTGGCTCATGGCATGGCAGAGAGGAACACACAGATTTTAGCTGCTTCAACTCTTTGGGTTGGGAGATCTCTTGGCAGCAGCTTGGCCTGGCGCTGATGCCCCGCACTTTGTGAAAGGCTGGCTGCCTCCTGGCATCCACCTTCCTAACTGTTACGTTGCCAATTTTGAGGCAAGTGATACGGGGAATCTTAATTCTGGGCAAAGAGTCAAAATCCTGAGCGCCAGATCCTGTGTCAAGCTGTGAATACCCAGCCTTGCTGGTGGTGCCCAGCTCTGCTCTCCTCGCTCATCATGGAAGGAATTCACATCGTCATTTGTATCAGAGATCAGCAAATGCTTGGGTGAGCAAGAGCGTTGTTTAGTTTTCGTCATTTTGGTGGAGCTGAAGATATGTCTGGAGCCAGTTTGAAGGTGTATGTGCTCTCTAAGGAGAGCTGGACTGCACGGTTTGTGGACAGGCAGGTCTCTGAGTCTACTGAGAGCTGGCCTTGCCCCGAAGGCAGGAAAAGCTCAGCTGTTCTCTCTTTGGTCTTGTTCACCTTGGGCAGGCCGTGAGACCCAGCATTGCACGCTTGCAGCCTGGTTTCTGCTGTGTTCAGAGCTGTAGTTTCTTCCTAGCAGAGCAGGAATCTGTGCTTTGTAGAGGTTGTTTTCCAGGAAGGATTTATGAGACATAGTCAAGCTCCTTAAAATGAGAGAAATCTTTAAGGATTTGGTCTGGGAATTAGATTAGCTGCTGCATCCCTTTGTATCCCCATCACTCTAATTTGGCCCACTCAAATGGAGCGGCAAGGCAACCAAATTGCACGAATCTCCACCAAAGCAGAGGTTGGAAGCTGATGAGAGGCTTTTCCTTTCTTCTTCCTGCACCGAGTCGGTGAGTTTGAGCTCCACAGGGATCAGCCTGCAGGCAAGGAGGCAGGGCAGGAGGAGAGCGGCGCGCAGTGTCGTTGTTCATTCGACGCTTCGGGTGTGTAGTTGTTTCCTGTGATTTTCGCTTAGGCAGCCTCTCATGGCCATGTGTCTGTGTAGCAGTGCCTGCCTTCTCGGAGCTCAGCAGCCCAAAGCAGTTTGCTTGTCCCATCTCCCCTGAGGATCCTGCTCTGGAAGGTTGTTTGTGGGCAAAACTCCGCTTGGCTGCCTGGGCTGGGGACATTACTGCAACGAACCCAGGCTCTCCATGCTCTTACCTTGGGGCTCCAAGCTGGTGGCTGCTCTCACCTCCTGCTCTCCATTGCCCTTGCAGGTGGCCCGTGGCAATTGCTCTGCTTGCATCCAAGCGAATCAACGTCAGGCCCTTGGTTACGCACCGCTTCCCCCTGGAAAAGGCTCTTGAGGCGTTCGAGACCACCAGGAGGGGCGAGGGGGTCAAAGTCATGCTGAAGTGTGACCCCACTGACCACAACCCCTGAAGATGCCACGGTGCCCAGCCCTCTCCCCCGTTACACCGCCTGCCTGAGATGCGAAGCATGAGGCCGCAGGAGGCTGATGTATGGCTGTTGCATGTTTACACAGTCACCTTATGCAGGCGCTGCTTTGTAACAGAGCTGGAAAATCAAATGGTGATGAGGGCTTGTGGCACTGAGGGACACACCATTAGAGGACTGACAGGTAACTACAAATGGAGAACCAATAGGGAATATGGGGAATAGCTTGAATCAAAATGCTGCTGCTTCGCTAGAGACGATGGTTCGCACAGCCGGCTCTCCTCCGGCAGAGCATGCTGTCTGTGCGTGTGGCGGGCAGAGCTGCCTGCAGGGCTGCGGCTTTGTCTGTGCGGGCGGCTGTCACCAGCTGCGTGGGTGAAGCCGGGTCGGAGATGCTGGCTCTCCACCTTCCCGCCCCAGCACGGCCCTGGGGCTGCGCCTGCCGCAGCTC